TTAAAATCTGCACCCTTATCTCAGTGTCATCATTGGTGACGCTGAGTTTACACGTCTCGACGCCATAGATTTTGACGCCTAGATCTTGGGCTCAGCACAGACGTGGTGGTGACTTGATAGGCAGCTTGGCGCCGAGCTCGACGCTAAGGTTATTGACATCAAGCCCTGTCTTACGTATGGCCCTCCCTTTTTTTCTTCCTCTTTTTCTCTGGCTGGCTCTGAGCGGTCATTGCCCATTGCTGCGCCGCATGCGTAGCATGGTCTTGTCTCACACATCGGCCGCCCATGCCGCCAGCCACTGCGGCCCAGCGCCGCTGAGCGCCTCATTGTGGCCGGCGGCAGCCTTCTTCTTCTCTTCTCAAGGCCGCACACGTGCTCTGCGCACAAGATAGGCGCTCCCTCCGACGACCCCGGCCGCGACACGGCCCCTGCTCCCAGCGCGCCGTGACCTTGCCGTCGATCCCGTCCTCCGCGTCCCCATCTTGCTCCGGTCCCGGCGCCCGCGTCCACATCGCATCGTTGCATTGACTTGGACAGGTAAAATTTTTGAATATGCAATGTAAGTACTTAGTTAGCTTGAATTGTAGTGTTACTTTGATTCTTTGGTAGTTTCTAGTAAATTTGATGATGCAGGTAGTTGATTTAGTTAGTGAGATATATATATTTAGATAGCTAGTGACATAGGTACATATATATATATATAGTTATTAGATAGCTAGTTGATTTAGTTAGTGAGATAAATATAGTTAGATAAATATAGTTATATAGCTAGTGACATAGCTATTTAGGGTGTAGTTGGTTAGTATCTATTAGAGAGGTACTATATAGCAGCTACTTTGGACTAAACGAACTGTATTTTAATTTTTGTTTGAACTACTAGATGGACAACCTAGTGAGCATATATCATGGAGGCACCGTGGAAAGAGATCACTATGGATATGTTGAGTTTGTTGAGATGCAAAGCGTGCCTGTGTTATTCAATGAGAAGCCTTCATTTAGTGAGTTGGTTGCAAAGGCTCGGGATGAGCTACATTGCCATTGAGCTGATGATGGCATCGTAGTTGAGAGTGTACTTCACCTAGATTTCCCTCCAACATCCTTAGAAAGATTATCCCAATTGGGTGTGCAGATCAGTGGAAGAACTATGTGAGATCGGCTATGAAGTGCCAGTTCCAAAGTTTGGACGTGGTTGTGCGTCGGGTGTTAGTTGATCCCATCTCTCATGGGGTTTTCCCACCAATGGGTCAGCAGGCACACTTCGACCCTCTTGTCCCAGAACCTGATATGGATGTGGAGGTTACACCTACGGTTCTCGATGCTCAATCTACCCCCAATGAGCTAGTTGGAGATGCTTGTCAGACTCATAATGTTGTGGCAGATCCTCCTCATGAGATCCCTTTGACACAGAATCATCCGAGTAAGTGTCTTATCTGCATGGTTATTGAGAGCTTACCCCCATCCTTACATCCATGTTTTTCATTCTTTCCTCATTTTCTACTTATGTTGCAGGAGACATTCCTGACAATATGGATGTGCCCACTATTGCTGCGCAAATGCACTATAGAGATGGATTCCATGGCTCCAATAGTGTTGAAATTATGAATGATTTAGAGCCATATGAGATGACAATGGCTCTTGATTCTGATGATGATCGCCCTGTTGGAGAGTTGACAAAGGGTGATGTTGAGATGCTGAGGCATATCTTTCCCGGCCACCGTGATCCAAGAGTTTACGAGTTCAGCGATCTTGCTCATTTTGATCAGGCATGTGTAGAAGGACGTGATGATGAGCTCCTAGAAGCTCTTGAGGTCGGCCCTAACATTGTAATTGAGAAGGGTAGGGTATTCAAGGACCTCCTTGCATTGAAGAGGTGGTTGCAGGCGTTTGCAGTGATACGAAAGAGACCTTACAAGATCTTGTGTTCATATGCGGAGCACCGTTACACAGTTGTGTGTGACAAGAAACGCTGCCCATGGAGGGTTTGTGCAAGGAAGCAAAATGTCACCGGAAAGTAGAAGATCACAAAAGTTGTCGGGCCACATAATTGTGCTGACCATGTGCTAACACTGAAGCATTGGCAGTTGACATCTACCCTCATTGCCAAGCGGTTGATGGGAATATTGCAGGGATAACCCAACATGAAGGTTAGGACAATTATCAAGACCGTTGAGGCGTTGTATAGAGGTTATGTGATAACTTATGGTAAAGCTTGGAGGGCTAAGCAGCGAGCGTGGAAGATGATATATGGAGACTGGGAGGATGGGTATGAGCAACTGCCAGTACTTTTCAATGCAATCAAAGTGGTGAATCCAGGCATGCATTATGAGTACATCCCAAAACCAAATGCATGGAAGGATGGGAGGCAGATATTCTTTCATGCTTTCTGGTGCTTCCCTCAGTGTGTCGAGGCCTTTAGGCACTGTCGTCCCGTCTTCTCCATTGATGGTACGTTCTTGATTGGCAAATACCAGGGCACACTTTGTGGCAGAACCGCCCGAAATAACATGCTTACGAAGGTGCTCGTCTTCCACTAGACTCTAAGCACTCCGAAGGCAAGCTACAGCGGACGGTATCCGTCGGACACACCCTAAGGGAGAACCCGAAAGATCCACATTTTCCCAAGGATCCAATAATGAGAACGAGTTACAATACTTGTCCATTTCATACATCAGAGTTTCTTAAAAGTACATTATTACAATACCAAATGTCAGAGTGCGGAATGATAAACAACGGAATTTAAAATGAACATTTAGCGATAAGAACGAGGATCCATCTGAGCCCACCAGAAGAATCCTCCACACAATGGTGCTTCTCAAGCATCACCTGCAACAGGGGTAAATAAACCCTGAGTACATAATGTACTCGTAAGACTTATCCGACTAGTGTGAATAATTTTCCGACTCCAAGGAATATGATAAGCTTTATGGTTTGCTGGTTTTCTTTTAGCAGAAAGCAATACTAATAGTGAGTCCTTATTTATGTTATTATTATCAGCCGTATTAAGTTATTATCTATCCAGTCTATATAAGCTCATGTTCTACTTTCAAGCAAGGGTTGAGCAATCAGTTCCATTTCATCATCTTTCACCTTTCAGTTCTTACTACGGTGCTAGACCATAGACAAGCCGTACCGGATTTCTCGCGATTCATGAATCAATGTGCCCAGCTGAGTGCCCCGAAGACACATGCCCGCTTATACCCTAGGCAAAAGTAGGACCAACCCGTCACTCTCCTGTCCTAGGTGTCCAGGTCCCCATCCAAACTTAGACTCCAAGCCCCACTCCTGAGTCCCGGACTCAGTGCGGTGCAATGACCTCCACCACCCCGCCTCCCATCAGTCGGTCCGGAAAGAGCCGGATCCATGACAAGAGAGCAACAAGTCTTCTCTACGTCCATACACAAGTATGTGCTTGGGACAATAGATCTATGACTTGCCTAGAGACTTATGCAACGACCGGTCCTTAATCGACACAGATAGGGAAAAAGTGTAACCGAGCTATGCCCTATTGGCCGCAGGACACAACCCTCTATACCCACCAATAACCAAACCACTTCCCTACCCGGTCATCGTTTATCTTTACATATGTTATCATGAGTGATCTTATTTATCACCTACTTGTGAGTAACAGCAGGTCACTCACGCTACCGATATCCTGAGCATAGCAGCTACTCGACCTGTACTAGTAGGACTCATAGGTAGATATATTTCTGCATGTACTTTCCATAAAATTCCTGTAATGTAAATGCACATCATATATATTCAGTGATCATTAAAAATAGGGGTTATGCACCGGGGCTTGCCTTGGGCAGGCGACGGGTCAGTAAAGTCAGCACCAAACGGCTTTGGGGCTCCCTCCTGCACGAGGATCTCCTCCTCGTACTCCTCAATCACCTCGTCGTACTTCTGCTCGTCGACGGGCATGAAGTCTACTAGCTCGTGATCTACATGCATGAAATGATGATGCAATGCTTAGTAAAATAGCAACAGCAACTCTTAAAATAAAGGTACATTTGTTTAACCACTAAGCTAGTGCTACTGACCACAGTACTAAGCTATCTATCGTTGCCGATAACAAGTTTGACGTATGGCATACGATATTATAACAACTACATGTATTCTTACTCCTAATGCTGATTTACGCTATATACGATAAAGCAAGGGTAATAGCTACTCTATTTAGCATCCTACTCTAGGGCTAAAGTTTTCCAGATGGGCCGAGCACGATGGGCTAGCATAGGCACGGCCCGAGAAAGCACGGCCCGGCCCGGCAGCCTGCGTGCCCGTGCCTGGCACGGCCCGCCCCCGTGCCTGTGCCTGGGCTGCCAATTCGGCCCATGGGCCAACACGGGCATGGCACGGTAAAGTGGCCTGGCCCGCTAATGGCCCGCTATCTAGGGAACTCAGCCATCCGATCCCCCCCTGATGGATTATGGCCGTTGGATCCAGGGCAACGACGCCGCCGCGTATATAAGCCGACCGGTGTCCCCCGCTCCCCACCCACACAAACCCTAAATCATTTCATCCTCTTGGCTCTCGCAGTCTTGCTGGCCAACGCTCTCCCTCCTCTCCTCTCTGGCTCTCGCCCTCTCCGACGACGGTGGCGAAGGGCAACGGCCCCTCCCAAGGGCGATGGCGACTCGCCGTCGTCCCCGCGGACCCCGCCTCCTCTTCTCGTCCTTCGGCAGCCGCAGCTTTGGAGCTCCGACGATGCAGGTAACATCCCCTTCTACTCTTCTTCTTCTTTCTCTCACTATCACTGACTCACTCCCTCTTCTATAGATCCACGGATCCATTGCTGCTAGGAGCTCTGACTCTGCCATCTTCGTCGCCGGCGACATCTAGGTAAGACACCCTAACCCTAGCTCCGAAGCCTAACCCTAACCCTAGCTCTGATCTGCTTCGTTCTTGATTTCTTTTCTTGAATCTTGAGTTCTTGACTGATGTTCATGTTATTCCTTTCTTCTTCTTTTGGCAGACGTTTGAGGCCAGGGCAAGTGAGGATGCCATCCCGGCCTCCCTCTGTCTCTGAGGACACGGTGGAGGCTAGTGCCATTGCCATGGCTGATGAGATGGAGAGGGTCCGTGACCTCCCTGGTGATGACAACGACGACGACATGGGCGACGAAGAGGTAGAAGAGCTCTTCGGCCGTGGAGCTGTACCTGGTGGAGCTGGCGCAGAGGACCCCATTGACCTTGATGGTGACGAAGGTGGTGGTGCAGAAGAAGACGGTGAGAACGCCGACGACGACCAGGACCAGGTATCACGCCCCTCTACCTCTGATGTGTGGCAAGATTTCCAGAAGCTCTTCAAAATGGGTCCCAAAGGTAAGAAGATTAGGTATGGCGCTGTCTGCATCCATTGCAAAAAACAGTACTCTAGTAGATCTGCAGGTGGCACTGGCCACCTCCATCATCACAGGGATAAATGTGCTAAGAGGCGAGAGAAAACTAGGGGGTTTAGTCAGTCTCAGATTTCTTTTAATCCTGATGGTTCTATGCATAATTGGGATTACTGTCCTATGCATGCTCGTACTGAACTGTGTAGATTGCTTGCTAGGGTAGATGTTCCTATCAGCTTTGGTGAATCTATTGCATTTGAGGAATACATTGATAATGATCATAATCCTAAGTTTCAGGCTATCTCTACACAAACCACAACTAGAGACTTAGCCAAAATGTTTTCTGATAGAAAGAGTAAGCTTGTTGAGGTACTTGCTTCTGATTCTGTTAATTGTGTGTGCCTTACCTTTGATATTTGGTCTAGCAAAGCCAAAGAGGATTATCTTAGTGTTGTTGCTCATTACATAAACCCTGATTGGCAACTAGAGAAGAGGGTTCTTGGTCTTGTTCTTATTGATTGTTCCCATAATGGACATAACATTGCTGATAGAGTTGCATCTATTCTTGGTGAATATGGTGTGCTTGAAAAAGTGTTTGCTGTTACTTTAGACAATGCTTCATCTAATGTTTTTGCCATGCATATGCTAAGACCTATTTTATCTAAATATCTTGATCTTGAGGTTCGTGTAGAGGATCCAAGACATCCTGAAACTGCTGTTACTACTATGTTCTTACATCAGCGTTGTGCATGCCATATAATCAACCTGATTGTTAAGGAGGCACTTGATTATCTTAAACCTTTGATTGAAGTTTTTAGAACTGCAATATCATTTTTAAACTCATCTAACCAGAGAATTGCAGCATACAAAAACTATTGCATTGCTTCTAGTTATAGGCCTAGAAAGTTTTAGTTGGACATGGATGTAAGGTGGAACTCTACATATCTCATGCTTAAGACTTTGTTTCCTCACAAAAATCCTTTCACCACTTTCATACATGCTAACTATCCTAGAGGTGAGGGAGGTGAGTTGCTTCTAACTAAAGAACATTGGGCTGTTGCTGAAAAAGTCTTTAAGTTTCTTGAACTGTTCTATGATGCTACTGTTGCCTTGTCTGGTGTTTACTATCCTACATCCCCACTTATGCTTCATTATCTGGTTAAGATTGCTATACACCTGAACAAGTATGCTAATGACATTCACCTGAGGAATGTGGTTCAACCTATGGTAGACAAATATAATAAGTATTGGAGGGACATACCTTTGCTCTATTCTTTTGCATCCATCTTGGACCCTAGAGCTAAAATGAAAGGTTTTTCAAAAGTGCTAAGGAAGTTGATGAACCTTATCAGTATAGACTACATTGCTTACCAGGTTGGCACTAGAGCTAGGCTTACTGATGTTTACAATAAGTATGAGGAGAAATATGGAGCTGTTAGGTTGAGGACTACTTCCTCTTCTTCTTTTGCTAACTGATTAGTAATCTTAATGCTAACTCTGTTCTTCTTTTGTAGCTGGCCAGCTGGGAGCTTGAAGCTTGAAGCTTTGAAGCATTAGTCTTCATCTTTATTACTTTAGTCTTTACATTTAGATGGAACTTGGGTCTGTAATATGAGAACTTGAACAATGATGTAAGAACATTGAACATTTGAATTTTGGAGCTAGACTGTACTCTTTTTCCTGACTAGGGTTTCTCATAAGGGTGAGTTTTACCTAGCAGGTTTTTAGTGAGGCAGCCATTGCACATGCTCCCATATTCCTATTTTCTTAACTCTTGTGTGTTTGCTCTGTTTTTGTTTCTCTAGTTCTTTTTCTGGTAATTTTGATTCCAAATTGTGCTTGTTACTTTAATCTTAAACTGATGAAGTGCTTTGGTTAAAATGTGTGTTTAGTGCTGGGCGGCAAGATGGCACTTGGCGTGGTACACGCGTGCCACCGGGCACGGCACCGCACGGTTTACACTTGATAATGTCATGCCTGGGCTGCCACTTCGGCACGGTGGCACTATCAGGCACAGCACGGCGGGCCGCCGTGCCGCATAGTGCCGTGCCTCGTCGTGCCGGCCTGGCCATGCCCGTGCCCGTGCCGTGCCGGGCGGCCCATTTGGAAAACTATATCTAGGGCTACAAAATTTACAGCAAGTACATAATAACCTAGTGAGCTTACTGTAAAATTTTTATAGCTATATCCATCACCATTTTACCACAAAAATTCCTACAAATATTAATCTACATAATACTAAGATCTTTAGTTTGAATTTATGAACCTACCATTGTTATAGCTAGCTGTGATCTTACTACACTAACAAGTAGATGGTATTTTTGTGCACCTAACAAAATTGGTTTCACTATTTTTGGACATCTACACGATTTACTATCATTTTTCAAAGTTTTGTTTGAAACGATATTGAATAAATTCTCAATAATTCGCTGAAATAGGAAAACCGAATCTCATCCTGCGTGGCCCGCTTTCGAAAAGCTCGGCCCACCTCCCGGTGCTCAGCACCCCGGTGCAGCCTAGCCCGTAGCGTCCGTGCTCACCCATGCAGCGCACCAGCGCGGCCCAGCGCAAGGCAGCCCACGCGAGCCAGCGGCCAAAGAAGGAAAGCCCGCGCGCGCTACATTAACCAAAAGAACCCTCGGGTTCCAAACAAATGGAAACACAGCCCCTGCCACTATTCCCTTCTCTCACTAACTCTAGCATTTAACCCGTTGGTTTACTTCAAATTCACGTCGCGACGTCCCTGGCCAGACTTAACAGAGCCGCGACCTCACCGGCCAAACACTGGCGAGCACCGACCACTCCGGCACACACCAGCATCCCCACAAGCTTCCTCGTGCCACGCGTAATGGATTGAGGTAACACATGCCTAGAATGGCGCACCACGCAGGCGTGCCCACGCGCCACGGCGGTGTCTGGCCGTGGTAGCCCGATGCCGGCGAGACCACCTATTCGAACACCTCTACTACTACTCGGTGACCATCTACAAGCTGCGTTAAACAATGTAGAAGTCCTAATTGGCCTGCTACTACCTTCAAATGCGTCGGCCATGGAAATGGCATCTACCCACATTCGCCAGGGATGGCCATGCGCTCCGGCAAACTTCAGCCCTAATCGCGTCAACCAGCTACTCTAGGAGTAAGAGGGCCTCACCAGACACGTAACAGACGGACTGGGCGAAGGCACTAGGCACCGCAAGATGGCCGACCACAAAAACAGGGTGGCTTTATTTCCCCACGAGCATGGCGACGACGTCTCTAGTGACCCGCTGCTCCACCGACGACTGCACGAGCGCGATAACCAAGTCAACTTTTACTCAAGGCACAACCTAATTGAAATGGCAAAGCACCACACGACACTCTGGCCATGCGCCCGCTCTGGCGACCATGGCGGACCACCGCGAGGGGAACGCCCCACCTCACCTTACTGTAGGTCGAACGAAAGCTTGGACGACTTTACTCACACGCTAACTATTCGGGCTCATAGTGGGCACGGCTAATTGGAAAACGGTGGAGTGGGTGAGGCCAATTGCAGTGGCGACCCCTAAGGACTTATGGCGGCCGGCGATGATAGAATTTCAAACTGGCACCCCTCCCTTATATCACCACCACAATGACCGGTTTGGCACGACATCGCCCTTCCACTCGACCACCACACGTGCACGATACATAGAAAAGGGCCAGCGCATCAATTCGGCTTTGGCGTGGCTCGGTCGGCCAGCGACCTTACAGGCGACATGACTGGCACCTTTGGCGTGGCCTCGAGCGCAGGCGTGAGGACAAGACAAGCAGGACGAGCTCATGCGTGCGCATAGCCGATGTCAATGGAAGCAGTAGCGGGACGGCAGCACCGGACGACGCGCAGTGCAAGCGACACGACGCGACGTGACGACGTGCAGCAGCCACAGGCGGACGCGCTGAAGGAGGAGCAGAGCGGCCAGGCATGGCCGAGCCTAGCCTATGCGCATGCCGTGTGCCAGCACACGACAGCTGGTGACCCAGGCTGGTAGCGCAGGACCAACGCGTGGTGTACGCGTGTAGGCGCGACGACGGTCGGTGTGGGATCGCACGCGGCGTGCCAATGCAGCAGCGCAGCGCAGCCAGTAGGGCAAGTACGGGGGCCGGGACAGCCCGCGTGGCGGCCCGCACAAGCGCAATAGTGGCGACACAGTCTGCTAGCAGCGGCAGTGACCGCGACCAGCGCTGGCTTTGGTTGAACTATGTGACGTGCACGCTTTTTAAAGCTGTTGCAACATCCTACCCGATGGTCCAAACGCCAAACCAATTCTTCTATACGCAAGAGGGTACGTAGGGCTATCGACCTAAGCCATGACATCTCGCCACTTCCTAAGCCGATCGCTCTGCAAAAATTGCCAAACATGGCTTCGTCGACCTGATTTCATACTTACGTGAAATGACTTAAACTTCGAACAGTTTCACGTCGAATTCCTTTTTTCGAGCTTCTTGATATATTATCTAGCGAACCTCGTCCTCGATCGTACACATTTCATCGTCACCTACAAAGTACGTACTACAAACTTTATCAAAGTTCACATAAACGTTCTATAGCATTTTTGTTCGATAAAAATTCGCTTAGAATACTAAACGACATTGAGCGACATGAAACGTAACAATTGTTTCTTGTTTCGGATAAACATTTCAAGTACCGTACATTGATTATACTTTATGTTACACACATTTGCGCATAAGTATGATGCTCATGCAGTGTTTTAGCAAAAACTGTACAATGTAACACCGAGGATGTTACAAATCTACCCCCCTAAAACAAAAATCTCGACCCAAGATTTTATGTGCCTAGTGTGAGAAAGAGATAGGAAATACATTTTTGGCGCAGCAACTAACTATCAGAACGAGGAAGAAGACGAGGGTAATGCTTCAATAGGTAACTCTCTTGTTCCCATGTGGCCTCATCCTCTGAATGGTTTTGCCATTGCACTTTGTAGAACTTTACCACTCTATTTCTGGT